GCTGAAGGCAAACAAATGTAATGAGCGTAGCTTAGAGAATATAGAACATTAGAGATGGAGGACCTTGCATATTGTTATGTAGTCCCAAAGCTTGCAAAAATACGGTCTTTTATGTTCAACAGTATCTACTAAATGCAGTAATAATCTACTAATGGGATATAACTATAGACTATAGTTCTGAAACAGGGACAAAGATGCCACTAATTCTGTAGTATTGTTCTTTTAAAATGCAGAAACGAAGTTTATCCTCCTCCTACCGAGGATCTGATCATGTTTTAGAGCGGTTTCTCTTGTATTCTGCCTGATTTCTAATTCTCTACCTTTTCTTTCCCAGTGCCTCTTTCCTTGAGATGTAACAGTTCAGATGCATGTAGAAATATGTCACCTATACCTTTGATTGGATTATATTTTTATATTGTTTATGAACTTGCTATGCATTTGCAATCATTATTAATAAATCAATGTGCTTTTGTCTTCTGTCACAAAGTAATGTATGTATTCAGAAAGAATTGTATGCAAAACAAGTCATGTTTTAGAACTCATATCATTAATAATTATCAGTTTGCAGTATTGTTACAACATGTTTTGAGGGAAGCTTATTATAAAAGAAATAACAAGGCACTGCACAGTAGCAAGAATAAGACAGTTCAGTTGATCACTGGTATAGGTGTTATAAATATGCCAGTCTGTACCATAGTGTTTTATTAACTCTCAAAAAGTCAAAGCTGATTTGAAATAATAATGTCTGACAGTCAGCGCTTTGAAGTTTTGCTGCTGCACTCTCACATTTAGGCTTTCTTTTATGTATGACTTTACCATAAAAAACAAAAACACACACAAGGCATGAACGCTTTTTCTTTTTTTTTTGTATCTGTATTTCAAAGAAAGTAGTAAGAGGCTACTTCAGTGAATTAAAGGGGAAAAAAAAAAAAGAACAACCCCCCAAAATCAATGAGGATAGGTGCAGGACACTGTAAGGTCATACAGTATTCATGTAAGCTATAGCTGGGGTTGGTAACTTGTTGAAGACTGTAAAAGTGAAATAAAAAAAAAGGAAAAGAAAAAAGGGAAGAATAAGGAAGGCAAGAGGCAAAAGCTATCCTTGATGGGAACAAGATGACTTTCATTCAATCGGAAGATCTTGAGAGCTTGGCTGTGATAGCTAACACACTCGTTCTTCATCACCGGTCGTGCAACAAAGAGCTGGATTCCATCCATTCCTTGACTGATTGATTACCCAATGGACAAATGTTAATTCTTTTCATCGATACTTTGTCATTGTGGAGAGATCCTTTTCATCTAACACCTAGGCTTTTTTTTCTCGGCTTTTTTTTTTCCCCTGCCTATTTATCTTTTAACATCCTCTTCTCATTCACCTTTGCAAAACTGTCATGTCTAACAAGATTCTCACAGTACTTTAAATTCCTTTAGTCTACAATTAAAATTGCTAAAAAGTATGTAATAAACCGTGATATTAAATAATACTCAATGATTTCATTTAGTCATCTCAGTCTAATTATACTTAACCTGTTTGCTGTCCTTGAAAGAAAATTTCTCCTAATTCACAAGAGAAGAATATAAAGGATGAGAAGCTGTGTGTGTGTTGTTAATATAATAAATTGCTCCAGTGCAACTTCACGAGTTTGATCTTACATGTGTCAGTACAAAATATGCCACTTTGTGGCATAAGCCCAACTGTGGTTTATAAAATCAGTGAGAAAAGCTAAAAATGTATAAATGCTAATTTCTTTCTTTGCTTCTTTTGTAATTGTCTTTAACAAGAATACCCCTGAATTTTGAAAATGTCAGGATCCACAAGATTTTGGAATGGTGCTGAAGCAGAGACTCAGTGCAGGGAGAGTGATGCAGTGCAGATGTGAATTTGGGCTTCTTCAATGTTCAGTGCTGGATTCTGAGTCGATGTTTTTTTTATAATGTATCAAATCAGAAAATGAATCAATATAGATGAAGACATTTTAGTGATGTCAGAAGATATCTTTGTAGATTTAGTTTGTATGTAAAAATTAATTTTCAGTACAGAAAGAAGAAAAAAATCCCTTCTGGATTCACAAACCTTTTCGAAATGTGTGTTTCTGGACACAGAATACAGAACTTGAAGGAAAACATGCCTTTCAAGTATAAGCCTTTATATTTAGTTTCATGTCTAATGTGGGGGACCCCCAGAGAGCTTTAACACATATCATTATGTTAAATTCTAAAAATGATGCAGATTAAACCTGCTAATCAAAAATTTACAGGAATTTCAAAAAAGCTGTTTCTACAATGTTATAAAAAAGTTTATTAAAATGTTCATTGCGTTTTTTTGTAATCTTCCCAATAACAAAATACAGTGGCTATAAATTGTGTGGTCAGATCTATAACATAGAGTTTGAATGAGATAGGGATGTTTAAAGAGAAGTTTCTTAAGGAATTTTTCAGTCATTTATAGAGATAAAAATTGTAACTAGCAATGTGACTATACCGAAAACGAGGCACACAGATAGACCTGTTTTCCATTCCAGTTCTGTCTCAGTCTGTCTTTAGAAATACGTTTTTTGCTCTTATGTAACATAAGAACACTACAGATAAACATGGGTGTTCCTAAGAACAGTAGGAAAAGAAATAAAGCAAGTGCTTTTGAGGAAAGTATTTTATCAACTCCTGTGATATGCTAATCATTTCTTTGTTTTGTTTTTGTTTTGATTTGTTTTTTAATTTCAATGTTTTCCTTCTTTGTGCGAATTGAGGAAAATATCATAGTTAAAAAGCAGTAGAATGCATAACTTTATAGCAAACATCTATAAACTCTAAATAAAACTATAAAGCTCTTTTCTTTTAGGGACGAGGGGTCTGAAATTTTGGCAGGGGAGAAACACAGAAACATCTTTTTAAACTAATGATGATATCACAAAAAAGGACAAATTATAATGTTCTATTGATAATTGATGGTTATTTCTTGATTCTTCTATTATCAGGCCAGAACTCATAAAAGTAATAAGTGCCTGTTATTGTTAAAAGTAAATTATTATTATATAACAAATATTTTAACACTGCGTATTGCGACTTACAGCTCCTTAATTTTGTCTCTTTCATAGAAAGATATAATTAGTAAATAAATTAGCTTTTCTACTGAAATATTACTTCAAAAACATTTACGAGCTGTGTTGTCTTTCCACGGAGGCTTGCGTGGTGAAAATGTGTTGCAATTAAAACCTGATCTTTGATCTTTTGGTGGTTACAGTTTGGTTTGCTTTCAGATGGTTTTCTTTTTTGTTTGTTTTGCTGCTTGTTTGTTTCCTTATATCTTTGTTTCAAATGAGTGATGCTAATGTGAATTTTTAGGCTGAAACTACTTGCACCCTAAAATATGATTGGCCACATATCCTTTTTTGTTACTTAAACTTCTCCCTGGATATTTAGCTCCTCCTTTTGTGACCTCTTTGACTGCTTCTCCTCCCTCTAAGTATTTTTAGAATCTTCTGAAGTAGAACAAACTGCTACCCATTGCATTGATGCGATCTATTTTGCCATTCTTAATCTTGGCTTTCTGCTTTTGTTTTCACTTCTGTGAGTGCTTCTGATGGGACTGCTGACATGAGATTTTGAGCCACAATTTGGCCTTAATCTGCCATAATTTAGCAGAAGATATGTTAGGCTGAATTCTGCCTTCTTGTGCACCCCAGTGCTAATTTGCAAGTGACTGGAATGGGATCAGTGCTAATGTTGTCAAAATTTGGAACATTATTAGTTATTTAGAAAGCATTGTGTAAACTGATCTCCTCCTAACACAAACAGCATCTTGCTACGAGAGTTTCTAACAAGCTAAGCTGCAGAGCTAGTCCCAGTGTTTGCACTTAGAAACAGCGTGCTCAGCACCACCCAGAGTGATATGGGGTCTTATAATGAAGGCTATTTACAAAGGTTCATTTTAGGAATAGAGTTGCAGTTAAATAATGCTTTTAATACCTTTCTAAACTGGGCCTAAATGTTCCAAGGACTTTAGCATTACATATTGTTGATGAGTCTGTCTACCAATGAAAGTAAATGCACAGTGTTTAATGGAGATTCTGTTATTAACAACTGGGAAGGGAAAATAAGTTTTCAATTGTGCGTGAAGTTTTCTTGATAATTGTTTATAAGTCTGAACTGGTGTTCTTAAAGTCATAAAGCTCTGGATCACAATATCAGCCATAAGAATTCCCATCTTAAAAATCACCTTTTGTAAGTTATCTGGAAGGTTATGTATAATTTAGACTTCAAAACCAAGATTTTATTGAAGTCTGTTACACCCAATAACAAATTTTTTAGTAGAATTGGGGTCTGATCACAGGAAACTTACTAAGGCCAATCTTCTACTTTCTCCTAAGCGTAATGACTTCAGTGACAGTTTTGCCTACAGAAGGCCTCCCAGATTGGGGCAAAGATTTGAAACGTATTTCTGAACTTCAAATTATGAAAGCCTGTCTTCTAATCATTGCATGTTGTTTATAGCGTACTGAGAAAATTTCTGATACTGTGAACATCCAATATGTAGAGTGCTTTTATGAATTCCATTGAGACGTTATATGAATAACTTTTGCATTGACATGGGTATAAAAATGGGTTTCAGATGTCACTGTGTGCCAAATTTCCAAAAAAAGCTTCTAAATCTTCATGTATAATTTCGAGTGTACAATCATTCTTAAATGAAAAAGACAGAATTTGTATATACATTGGCAATCTATGCATGTAAATTGGCAGTTAGCATGCATAAATCCCGAATGAAGTTTTTCTTTCAATTAGACCCTTGTTAAATCCATAGTAACTCCATTAACCTCAGTGGAATTACTTTGGATTTAAAATGCAGTTAACTAAGAACTCTGACTACAAGTTCATTTCCCTTTGAAACTATGGTCCAAGTAGAACAGGGAAAACAGTTTTAAAATGAAGGTGTTTTCCTGATGTCTGAGAATATATTTGATAATTCTTTTTTTTTTTTTTTTTCCTTTTTTTTTTAATAGATTCATCCTGTATGGAAAAGTTACTTTCTAAAGACTGGAAGGAGAAGATGGAAAAATTAAACACAAGTGATCTCCTTGGAGAAATTAAAGGTATCTCACTAGATCAAATTTTAAATGTTTGCCTATATTTTTAAAAGAGGATTGAGGATTTTTTAAAGTTCAGAAAAAAATCATAGGAATAACAATTGTAACTACAGGGTGCTTTCTTCATTCCAGTCATCTCACCCTGTTTTTTAATGTTTATCTTTGAGATGACGGATGCATCTGCCAAATAAATTAGAGTATGTCACAATCAGTTATAGTGTAGGGAGTATAGAGGATGTTATCACAAACACCAGGTGAGTTACATTAGTTCATTGATGCTAGCTATGTATCTCTGTGACCAGAGGAAGAGGAAGAAACATCTTGAACACATGGAGTTACTAAGACTTGGTATTGTTTCTTCCCAGTTGCATAAATTATATGTAGAAACTGCTTTCAGATTATAAAAAGGTATAATTGTGTGATTGCTGTTCTAAATCTTTGATACAAAATTAGGAATTTTTTTTTTTATTATTTATACTCATGCTATTCCTGAGGAGAAAGAGCAGCTCTGGATGAAATTCGGGACCTACTGAAATCAGTGCAAGTTTTATTGTATATATAGACAGCACTTCCCAGTATTTCCAAGATTTGTTGAACAAGCAATCTAGCAAAAGTGGAATTCTCTTGACAATTAAGTGCTATGTAGAAAACCTGAAGTGTTTTTCCCCACCCATCAATTCTTCCATGGATTTTCTTAGTCAGAAGAAATTCGGTGTTATTGATTAAGCAACAAATTAAAAAAGCGGGTTTTGTACTGTGAGAAGGGGTCATAAGGCAAGCTTGAGGGAGACACAAGGTACCTAAGATTTATTTCTCTTCATTGGTATAATTTTACTAAATGGTGGAAATAACAAAGAATCATGTGCATCATATGAATAAATCTTTACTAGTGTAAAAAAAAAAAAAAGGTACTATTTGATGAAAATTGATGCTTTGCTTTACATGGTTTACATTTCCACCAGGGAAACTTAAGATAGTTCATTTCTTTATTATTATAAAAACAGATGAAATATTGGCATTTTTTAATAAGTAAGTTATAATCGGCTCCTTCAGCTGATTCAGGACCAAAATCTGTTGGATTTTTTTGGTAGGGTTATGATACTGTGTATATATTAGGCAGGTGAGAAATCCTGTAGTAATTTCAGTGGCAGAAATATAGTATGCAGTTTTACAGGAACATGTTAAAACTGACTGTAATAAAATCTGACAAAATTATGTCTTGAAATCACATCCTATTTAAAGCCGTATTGTCTCTTAATAGTGTGGAAAACATTGGATGCTAGTTTGTCCATTAATTGCACAATATAGCTACTTAGTCTTTAAATAGAAACTACTTGAATGCTATTAGTGGATCAAAATTAAAAGAGGTGGGATCTCTAACAATGCAGAATAATGTTCTTTATTCTTTCATGTGGCACAAAAAGCTTTTTCCTGAGCTTTCATTTATTAAAAAAAAAAAAAGTTTGTTTTTCTGCATTTTCTGGGTTCATGCTGTTCCTCCTATTTTTTTTAGGATATGTATTCAGTTCAGTGTGAAAGAGTAAAGTTCTAGTTCCTAACCCTTTTCTCACCTACCTACAAAGCATTCTCACTCAGGTTTGGAAGAATTTTGAACTCCTGCAACCACCTTTTCTCGGGGGTATAGGCTATTAGCTGTACAAAAAAGATCACCTGATTTGTGTGTTGACAGTCCTTCAGTTAGTTTCTGTGTCTCATCACTAGAAATCTATCCTCAAGAGATCTTAATGTCTGCAGTATTCGTCTCCACTACTAGTTGACTCCCAGCAAGATGCAATACTGAATCTTTGCTACTGCAAGTGCATTTAACATTTTTCATGAACCAGCAAAAATACAAAAAAAGCATAGACAGACATGGGAGGTAACTGATGGTTGCTGTTACGTCGTGCTTTACACTTACAGTATTCAAACCTCTTGACAAAGACGTTAGTGTGATTTTATAGAAGAAGAAAACAAGGTGCAGAGTTATGTAGTGGGAGCAGTGGAGGGTCTGAAGAAGGACTTCTTTCCTTCGGGGTCCCAAGCCTGTGGCCTAGTCACTGTCTCCAGGCTGGTTATCTCCTGGCTGATAAAATTGCTATCAACCTAACAGCCTGGTATTAACTCATATTAGCATTTGTATGCCTTAGACCATCTCACAAAGAAAAAAACCCAAACAACCCAACAATCCAGCCCATGGCAGCGTGAAAACCAGATTACAAGAAGGAAATAAAGTGAAGTAGGGGAAGCAGAGAGAATTTTTAATCTGCCAAGGAAGCATATTTTAAAAAATATCTTTTAAGTGTTCAAGGTGGTAGATTTCCAAATCATGAAGTTCCTTTTTATAGTGCTGAACGAATTTCCAGTTAGGTAACTGTCAGGGCATGCTGAGGTCTGAAAGAACTTATATTGAAAATGTGTCGTCTTTGGGAGGTCAAATATCTTTTTCCCTAATTTTCATTAGATTCTAAATCAGTTTATTTAACTGGCTGGTATTTTTGGCTTTTGTGCAGACTTTCTGCTTATGTTACAGAAAGCCTAACTTAAAGACATGAAGTGATGCAGTAAAAATAAATAAATGAGGTCATTAAGGAAAAAAATCTTGATTGTTAGAAAGTGAGGTGTGGTCCTGTGAGGAACTGCTCTTTGCACTGACTGTTACTGGGAGTTGTTTATTTTAGAGGGAAGGCGCTGTTCTTGCTAAGGATAACCTGACCACATACTCTTCCTCTGTGTCTGCACAACTAAAACCCTCCCCCCTTCAGTGAAAGACTAGCATCTCGGTTGTGGAGAGGCAGTTCACTAAGAATCAGTGCCAGAAAAAAGGATGAAAGCAGAAAAAAAATGTACCACTGACACAAACTGTTTCTATTCATGTTTTGGGAAGCACACAGACAAGAAGAAAAGATAATTGGTTGAGAGAAACAAATAAAAATGGTATTTTCTTGCTTTACCTTCTATATTTAGAACACAATAGTGTTAATCAAGATATAATTATAAACTATATCTATTAATTCAGACAATAGAAGCCAATGCAAAAGTAACAAACAGTGAGTAATTTATTTTTTCTCTAAGTGGGATTGTTCCTGTTCACAATTACTCTTGCATAGTGTGCTTTATTTGTAAAACTGCTTTCTCATGAGTTTCTTTATTAGGTTCTCATTTATTGATAATGGTCCTGATTCTTCCTTGAAATCCAGCCAACAAGCCATTGACTTCAGGGAGGTTGCATGAAACTCAGAGGAGCGTTTGGCAGAGAGCTTTGTAGCCAAATTCCAGTGGTTAAATAAGTCAGCTTGTTCATTTGATATGTTTATAAATGAAACACATAGGTCAAATTTTCAAAGGTCTGTGAAGCATTTGAGCTGAGTTAAATGACCTGCTCACCTGGAAAAAACCCCACAGCTGCCTATGCAAATCATTTGGTTGTATGCTATTTGTCAGTGTGTGCATGCAAATACATTTATTTAAGGTATACAAGCAATTTGTTTGGCTTATGTCTGGCTTTTGCAGTGTCTTTTTTTTTTTTTTTTTGTATAAAAATTAGGATCAGGAAATACTTTTCATTCTAATTTTTGTTATCATGTATTTGAATAAACAAAGTGATGCAGGACTCTTCTAAATTTCCAGATATTTGGGTACAGAGAGTTCTGTCCTAACCCTCCCTTGCTGCATAATTTCTGTTGCTTAGTTATCTAGTTTCTCTTCAGCAGCCACAGCTAGGCAGAGTAGCATCATTTATCACTATACAGAGTCTGTTTTAAGTTTTCTGTTTCTGTTCCAAATATAAATCTCTGGAATAGCATAGTCTTGCATGCATCAGGCAGTTGTCCTACTGAAATAGCCCGCAATGGTCTTTCTCAGCATGCAGGGTCTTTGAAGATCAAATAAGAAAGGTCAGTCTTCAAGTAACTTAAGCAATGATGTTATCGTGAAAGGGTCAGAATTGGTCTAGCAGTCTTATAGAAGAGTGAGTCCTGGGTCACCGGCTACTGTGTTGCAGGTTAGTTCTCTGGCTTCCATTGGTGGTGTTTACAACTGGAACTATCTATATTTATAGGCATTGTGACTTGAATGTCAAATACTATGTTTGTACAGTATACTCTATTTTGGGAAGGATAGTGATTGATGTCCATAGCTTTATCCAATACAGAAGGCTGTTTGCATTATGTTCCTCTGTTTATTCCTTCCCCTTTTCTATTTGTTACTTTATCAAAAAGAGCCTAAAACTCTTATTTCATGACATGTACACATTTAACGGCCTCAAAATATTTGGATAGGTGACAGGTAGCATTCCTGTTTCCTAGGAAATGTTGAATTTAGAAAAGTGAAACAATTTCACCCACTTGATAGTCTCCTTGTAAGATACACCATAAACAATACTGAAATTTGTCCCTGGTATTAGAACACAGGCGAGGTAGAAAGAAGTGTTTCCTAGGAGCGTTTTTTTTGTGTGTGCATTAATGACTGGAAGAGAACAGTGAGGCACAACTGTTTGAATCTAGTAATTTAACACTATCCATTTCTGGAATAGTCTTGGAGAGAGCTCTGCATGAATGAATCCTTGAGAAAGTTACAGTTTCTGTGTTTTTACAGTGAATTAAAATTTTTCTTAAAATATGCATGACTTGCCAAACATTTTAAAATGCTATTTTTGCTTCCATTTTATAAACTTTGGCTTTACAGATAAGCTTTTGGGTGTTTATTGGTGCACTGTGTCAAATGTGAAGACCGTTTTGAGGAAAATAAATCTGATGTTTTCCTGTAGCCCTGACCAACACTGTAGTCTGGATTTGCAGCAATTATTTCTCAGTATAATTGCTGAAATTTTTTTCTCCTCAATTCTAAGGGTATATAATAGTCTGCCTTATAAATATGTATAAATAAATATATATAAGTCTTATATCACAGAGGCACTCAGAGGTTTTTAATTATGTCACTTTGTATGGCTATAGACATTTCAAAGCTCTCCTTTGTGCTCTCTGTTATAAACATATTTTATTTCTTTTGAAGTCTGTGTGATATACATACTAGC